AACATAAAATATTATAACACACATAGCAAAATCAGTATTAAATCAACTTCCATTTTTACAATTTAGTTAGCTTTTTATGTCAAGTACATGGAAAATTCTGCTCCATTGAATGTTTGTAAAGACGACAGTATTGTCTGGTGAAATTTGATGCTCGTTCACAGCCTTTTCAATTAACCAAATTGTGCAGAAGGTTAACTATTGTTTGCTATTATACCAGGTGAGCTATTTCGCATCTTGCAGCTGTCTGAGTAACCAAAGGGAGTTCCCCACATTCATGCGCACCATGCCTAGTGACGCCTTCCAGATAAAAGCCCTGGCCCAGCTGGTTAGCTATTTTGGCTGGACCTGGGTGGGAGTCATTGGGGTGGAATCTGATTATGCTCGCTTTGCCATCCAGCTCTTCCTGGAGGAGTCAGTGAAGTATGGCGTGTGTGCTGCCTACTCTTACTTCTACCCTGTAGTCCTGAGTGAGCAGGCTCTAGATGGGCTTCTGGATGTAATTCAGGTACCTAATGGTCAATATGAATTTTCCATACACACTGCAGGTAGACAAAAATGTGACACGTGAAAAAAACACCTGCAATAAATATTACCTTTGTAGTACCAATACCATATTTTGATCAGATTGGTCTGCTCTCCCATAAGTAAAAAAAAAAAGAAAAAGAAAGAAAAAGAAATGTGACCTAAATTTCTTAATATAAAATAAATTAAACTTGAAAAATTATAGTTCAGTGATGTATTAGGAGCATTGAATGACAAAAATAAACCAATTTACATTAACATTATGTAAATTAAACATGCAAATGCTTTTAAACTGAAACACTGTCCTTTGCTGCTTTAGCTTTGATTGATGTTCAGTTGCAGTTTTTGTATCAGAATACAATTAAAGATTATTATATCATCAATAAGACTTTTAGGTTCACAAAGTAGTACTATTGCAACACTATGTCTTTAAAAATTAGATTAATTTATTAAATTAAAGTTAATTCAACACCTCTCTGACACAATTTCTTAACTTAATTTTAAGCATTTTAAACTGATACATTGACAATGCATTATCATTTATCACATATAGGTTATTTGTTTTTGTTTGCACAACCATATACATGTGGCTTGCTCATATACAGGATAGTCATAGGTGCATTATCATAGGTACTTGAATGTGAATCATATTTCATATATAGGAGGCCCAACAGCCCATCACTTAATTAAAGTTTTAAAACTGTTTAAATTTCATCAAATATTAACTTTATCTACATTTCTGCTGTTTAGATGGCATCCTCAAAAGTCATCATTAATTTTTCTAGTGAGTCAGAGATGCAGGGCATTTTGAGAGAGGTCCAGCATCGGAATATAACAGGTCTGCAGTGGATCGCCAGTGAGGCTTGGGCCACTGCCAAATCACTCTGGGAAATGTTTGGAGATCTCCTGACAGGAACACTGGGATTTGCCATCCGAAGAGCTGATGTGATTCCAGGCCTGCAACAACACCTTACTAGTCTCAGACCATCCAATATTTATGAATCAGCTTTCTTTGTGCAGAATTTTGGGAAGAGACGTTTAACTGTCGATTTGAATGGGTCAGTGAACACGGCCCACTCTCATGGAGATAACAACTACATCGACAGATTGCCATGTTAAAGGACGGAGGATTTAAGCAATGTTTACTTCTCCTTATTCTGGATTGTGACACAGCTAAGGAGGTGTCTTATAATGTCTACAAGGCTGTGGTATCTGGTGGCCCATGCATTGCATGATATGAATAACTGCATAGTTGGCCAGGGGCCTTTCCCTAATGGCACCTGTGCAGACCCAAAGAATTTTAAACCTTGGCAGGTGAGACTAAAAGGTTAAAATATTATTTGTAAGTAAAAACAACATTCACCACAGTTAGTGTTTCGATAACTTGTTCTCCTTCTTCCCTTAGCTTGTCCACTACATGAAGCACACAAATTTTTCTGCACTTAAGGAGAAAGTCAACTTTGATCAAAACGGTGACCCCATTGCTTATTATGATCTTTTGAACTGGCAAAGGAGGCCTGACGGCTCACTACATTTGGAAAAAGTAGGTTTCTATGACGCCTCATCGCCTGCTGGACGCAGCCTGGTCATAAATGACTCAGTGATTCAGTGGCCTGTTGGGAAGCAGGTGTGTTCTCTTCAAACAGGCTTAAGACCATGTTCACCTCTTAGACTGTTATATGTACTGTTGATCAACACATCAGCTAATTTGTTTTTATTAGTGTGCAATATACTTTATTGTTAAACAAGCAGAACAAAAGACAATCCTTGAAGTGTAACCTACTCAAACTGAAATCAATTACCTATGAATGTGGCAACCATAAACCCCATTAACACTTACAATTAAGTGCAGTTACCAAATTTGTATAATATCTGTGGTCATGTTAGAGTTTTTACATTACATTACAAATTTTCTTTACAAATGTAATTAATGAATGTATTAATTCAATTCTTATTTAATTTGTAATACAGCTCCTAAATTACCCATTATCCAATTATCCAATCTCCAAAATATACTTCAGATTACATCTTTAAAAGGCCATAATTATGTTTACAAGAATATATATGTTTTTAATATTATGTATTTGGGGATTGTTGAATGTTACAGTGGTACATCTGACGCAGACATGGGCATGAGTTCTCTTTTGATCATCTGGTGATTAAAATAAATTATTAAAAATTAATTATTAATTATTAAAAGATAATGTATCACAATAATGAGTAGTTCACAGAACTGCAACTTTTAGTTGCTTTTGCTGAATTTGGTTTGCATACTTTCACCTTTTAGTCTGTATGTAGAATAGAGGCTGCAGTGAACAGAAAAAGAAAACCACAGAAAAGCTGGTGCATATTGATGAAATCAGCGTGTTTCTGAGTGGCTGAACTTTG